GTGGAAGATAATTAGAGAGATATACGCATGTGCGTGTGAGCGCACACACAAACACATACTATCCATACAAGAATTACACCTTTGACAATGTTAGCTACAATTACCCAGACCCAGAAAGAACAAAGAAATGTCATTTTTTAACGGATAAGCAAATTGCAACGATTTTCAAAACAGCGGAAACTGGGAAATATCTGGGTAGCCACTTATGTATTTTTTCACTTTGTCGATTTGTATCATATCTTCCGATTGTAATGAGCTCATTCCCACACACAACATCATAGCCAAACATGAAAGATTATTTTTATCACTAGTTTATTACTTTTCCTATTTCTTTTAGATTTAGTGCACATGAAACTAAAATTGTAAAATTTTTTGCTATCCGATATCTCTCTCAGTAAGTTTAATTTTGTTTTTTTTTAAACAAGCATATTGTCTAAAAGAATTTGTAGTTAGTCCTGAGAAAAAACAAAATATATAAAGAAAAATAAAATTCAAAGTAAAAAAGGCATTTGCGTTTTCCTTTAGCTCTTTCTCTCTAAACTTTCTATACTTCTCTCAACCTACGAGAAGGGAACTCTCAAATAAAAGGAAGAACAGATTGAAATCGGCCCAAAGCACTAGAAGTTTGCAAGAGCAGAGGTTACTTATTTGTGACTGAAAAATACCAAGAATCATGAAGGATCCATGCATAACTTCAGTTATAAGAAAAAAATGCAAAAGAAAGGAACATAGGAAAATAAAATAATTTGGCCAATTATAAAAAGATACTTCTTAATGTTAGCGGCAACCAAAGTTCTCACCACAAACTCTGAGCTTATTCAAAAGGATGGAACAAAATAACGCTACCACATAGAAACCAGCCATGCGTAACGCACGAAGAAAGAGTTAAGAGGTTATCTGCTACTGTCATTTCCACCCTGTTAAGGACTGAGAGAAAATGAAGTGGATTTACACTGACCTAATTTCTTAGTACTACATCTACCATGATTTTGTATCAAAACGGCCACAAATGGATATTTCTCCAGAATGCTACGCCTTATTAGCAAACATTTTGCTACGCTGAGTACTAAAAGACTCACTCATCACTCAAATAAAAATATTTATTTTAAACCCTTGAGTCTGTCGTTCTATTCTCCAAGTTTCTGATAAAATAATTATTCTACCACCTATCCACATTGGTGACGTTCTGATATTAACACATTTGACATAAATCAACGTTCGCTTGTTAACTTTTGCAGTCTTGATTCTATTAAGTAAATATTAGGTATTTGCAAAGGTTTCCAGCGACAAATTTCAACTGTATTCAGTCTAGTTAAAGAAAAAAAGAAAAGAAGTAACGCACATTGAGAATATTTGTAAGAACCTAATTCTAATAAGGTGAAGTTTTGACAAAGTTGTGAAACATACAGATCTAAATAAACTATTCGTTCGCACAAATATACTAATAAAGTGCTGGAGTATCGAAGAGATTTTTTTTTGTATTAATCAATGATGTAAGTCACAGATTACCAATGGTGTGAATATTTAAAAGAGTAAAAATAATAGCATATGAAAACAGAAGATGTTCAGATAAAAAAACAAAAAACAAAAACAAAACACGTATGGAGAAGTTGAAAGAACTGAAATTGTCCGGAGGGGAAGGCCAGACACCCATCAAAATTCACCATTTTCTTGAAGACCTTGTAGTCAATAGCAACAAATAAATCACTAAATAACATCCAAACCTTAGTACTAGACTAAGTAAGAGTATGAAACGAAAATAAAAAAAAAATAGTCAAAATACTTTAAAATAAAGTAGGAATTATAATTAACAATAAAGAAAGAAAAAGATAGATTATAAAAAAATAAAGTTAAATAGACAAAGAGTATTCCCATGATGCACCGGAACAAACGTTTTTGTCGTCAATTGAAACACAAATCAAATTTTCACTATTCATTTTCGACAGCAAAAGGAGACATATCCGGGACACTTTGAATGAACATAAGCACCAACTTTTTATCTCTGTACCCCTATATGTCCTTAAAATTTCTCTGAAAATAAAGTATTTTATTGTTTTGTGTATGCTTATTGTGTTGCAATTTATATATTTCCGTTGTGGTCTGATGTCTAATCTCCAAACAGAAAAAAAGAGAAAGTATATTCAGACAAGATCACAACGCATCACCAGAACCACAACAAAATGAATACAAAAAGTTTTTCCTGCGCGTAATAGAAATGGGATTTCAATACAGGGACGGATTTTTTTAATATAATGCAAATGTAGATTAACAATAGAACCTCATATATAAAACATTTAGTTCAGCGCATTACTCGAGTTTAAAGGCGAGTGGAATTTTGTAAAAGTACTCAATATTAAAAGAAAAAGCAACAACAGTTAGTAGATAAAAATAGGTAAAGTCCACTGAATTTTCGATACCTAATCTGTAAAAATTGAATTTCTCGAAATTTCATGAAAGTAAGTAAGTGGGTGGTAACATAGGTTAAAAAAGTTTTTTTTCTTTTTTCAAAGATTTAAAAAAAATTTTTTTTTAAATAATTTAATTCATTTTTGAATATGTCCTGATAGTTTCATTAAAATCTGACAATTATTTGATTTTTGCAATAATTTCCAATCAGTGTGTTTTTCACCGGAAAAGGCGCAAAAAATAAAACTAATCGTTATCATTACGTTGGCTGCTGACTAAAAAAAAAAGTTAACTAAACTATGCTGTTTTTTCCGCGAAAATGGGGAGGTGTCTAGATAAAAAAAAAAAAAAAAACAAACAAAAAAAACCTTCCAACTTCGAGTTTTGCAGAGACACCATTCATAGGGATTTTTTCTATGTGTTACGTCTCTTCAGAAAAGAGGCGATCATAACTACCCACAGTTAACCTCATGTGGCTCTTAGCTTCTTTCCCCACCCCTTGCTAACCCTTCCGTGAAGGCTTTATTTTTTAACAACTTTACTGGTCGACGGGTTTTGTTAGATGTACTGACATGTAGGTAATACGCCTAACTTATTAATTTTTCCAAACACTACTTAAAAATCAAGAACATCCAGAGACATGCAAAGCAGACGTGCCAGTCTTTTACAAAACTTCTGTTGTAGTTATGTGGCTAGGCGTTAGCGGCTAGCATCTTCGTTGAAGTAAACCAAAACACTCCTGAGTCGATCAAACATAGAAATGAATACATTATGGGAACCAGTAATAAGGAGTGTCAGAGAAAAGCAATAATAACAACGAAAATTGCAATATGAGCTCTGGTAAAAAATGATGGCTGAAGACATTAAGTTTAAGTCCTAGAAATTCATGCACAGATGGCACAGTGGATAAAGGCGTTGGTTATGGCCAGTGACAGGATCCAAAGAGTTGTTAGTTTAATACCTGCTCAAGGCAGTGAAGAACTTGGAGAGGTGAATTAACAGGAGATATCTGATAACTTAGACATGGCATGTGGAACTAGAACAGTCTACCCTAGCGAGTTCGACATTCCAACCACTTGAAGGAGGCCAGAGCATACAACGGCCGAAACGTTGTGATAAATATGGCATCAAAGATGAGGACAGTAGTCCGAATAATATAAATAATACCTCATCTCAGAAATATAGACAGATACTGAAGAAACTGGTAGCATAGAACTTACGGTTATATCTAGCAATTTCAAATATTACACTAGCTAAACCTCCAATATAGAGATCTGAAACGAGATAAAAAAAAACAAAAAAAACAAACTCAGCACAAACGCGCGCGCGCGCACACACACACTAGCAGGATGGTTTTAAGCGTGTGATTATGCGTACTATAATTTATATAATAATAAAGCGCAATGTACGTGTGTCCGTCCGTCCGTTTTTCGATCACGGCAAATCATAAACAACCTGAAGTAACAGGTAGTGACTACTGCAGTTACACACGATTAAAAAAATAAATAACCCAGTTAAATTTAAATATTAAATAGAGTGAAAGGTTTAAAAAGCAATTCTTTATTAAAGGTTTTTAACTTAATTTCGTTTTTATCGTCGCCGTCAAAACTTCAGCGGCGTACGTTATGTTGCTCATGTTTTTTTGTTTTTGTTTTTCTAGCATGTGTACTGTGATGCATTTGAAATAGTTCAGGCTCCCTAATGTTTTAAGAGCGAATTTATGTGAAGGGATCATAAAGAATGCTGATTTTAAAAGAAAAAAAAAATTGCGCGCAAAATAAATGTAAAAAGTAAACAAAAACAGAGATCGGTTGCGTACACCGTACACGAAAAAAAAAAAAAAAAAAAAGAAAAAAGATTATGTCGAATTAAGGTATCGAATAAAATAATTTTATTATTTTATAAAATAATTTTTACTATTTCTAAAGATGCTAAAAAGCCTAAGGCTTACCGCAGAAAGTAACGTAAAGTCCTCCCGGAGGGAGGCTTCTCTAGGTTACAAGTACAAATAGACATTAAGGCGTGCGTACACTGTATGCGTGCCTTGTGTATCAAAGAAAGTTTCTACGGGATGTTAAATATTGAAATTGATACTTTCTTTTGAGTACGTCAGCGTGGTACCATTTTATGCATGATTAAAAAGAGAAAAAAATGAAATTGAAAAGCAAACAAAACATTGAATTTGCAAATATCCCCCGCAGACTCTTTTTGTCTGCCTCTTCTTCACGCACGAATACTGGGTACAATTTTATTCCTCTTTATTTTCTGTTTTTTTTTTGTTCACATACATTTTTCTCTTGTTTCTTCACATAGAAGCTAAAATTATTCTAATCTTTATTCTTTATGGTAATCCATCTTTTCCACTATTATGTCTCATTAACTCACACTATCACTCACACACAGCGATACCCCCTCCACTCACACACCTTTGAAGTGTCATAGGCATTCGCTCCCATCTCGCTTATAAAGTTTTTTTTTTTCCTGGGCCAACAGATTATCATTCGCAGTCGTAAACTAGTTTTCGTTATTCTAAGCTTGTGTTAACTGCCCTCAACCACGAAGTGTGATTTTTTCAACTTTGTGCTCGCATTAGAATGTGGAGAAAACTTTTTCTCGCGGCTTGCGTTTTGCTAGCCTTGTGCCATTTTTCAGAGGCAAGAAGAAAAACACGAGGTAAGTTTTTTTTTTGTTTTCACCAATAAGTCAACAACACCCTCGTCTAGTAGCTATTTTTATGGAGACTAGTTTTTTTTTTTTTATCCTATTTTCTCTTACGGTGGGAGAGTACTTATATATAATTTAAATTACACACACTTAAAAAAAATATTTTAAGCTGAGGAGAAAAAGAAAACTTCAGTTAAATTAAAATGTTTGACATTTTTTTTTAATCATTATTACAAATTATAAGCAAGGACAGGTAAAAATCCATAACCTGGCACACCACTGAGCTGATGATTACCCCCCCCCTCCCCAATGTTCTATTTTAGAAGAAGAGGCATTTAAAAAGTTTACGCACTTTACTTTTAAAAAGTGCTTCTTGATACGACATAACCAGATGCTCTTAAGAAAATAAAATACGTGTACTGTAACCGTATTATGCAGCAGGTCATGTGAATGAATAATAATTCGCTTCTAAAAATTGGTTTGTTGCTGTGACCCCGTATCGAGCCAAATATAGGTTTTGTAATTTTGTTTTAACAAATACAGTACAAATGATTTGTGTAAAATAAATCAAAGCAAAGAGGGTGGCAACTTAGTATGCAACTTGATTTTTTTTCCTTTTTACTTTTCAGAAAGAAAGACAAACGAATTTTATTTGACAAGTACAGAAGAACTTTAACGGATTCAAAACAGTCCCATTCAAATTAAAATCTGTTCAATTTAATCTGTTCAATTTTAATCACATAGCCAAAAAGAAAGTGTTTTGACAGTAGTACTCTCTACACTATTATACAGAGGACTAGTATTTCCCGCCACTGGCGTGGGCCATGAAGCTTATCGTGTAAATCTACCTGTTGCGGGGGAAAGAAGGATTTTATTTTTACAAATCAATCCCCTCGTAAAAGAGTTCGATACTCCGTATTTTCAGCTAGTGTCAGACTGAGCAAATATTAGTACTGCGTGGCGTAATTTTAACACGATTGTAAACCAAAATTTAGGATTTTTATACTACAGGAACTCATTTCTGGAAGATAAAAAAAACAAAAACACATACAGCTATCTAGTAAGAAGCTCTTCACATTATTACAATTAGAAAGTTTTAATTAGGAGGGGGAGGGGGTTAATTGGTCCTCGTCTCCTTAACCCCCTCCCACTCCTCTTAAAACTTAGTTGTTTTTTTTTTTCTAATTGTAAATGTAAAGAGCTTCTTACTCGATAGCTGTATGTGTTTGTTTAAAAAAAAAAAAAAAAAAATGATCATGCCGCTCCATAAAACATTACCAGTTTTGCTTTTTAAAAAACATTTCAAATAATTTCATTCAAGTTTAAAATTAAAAAGATAAAGCATATTCTTACTTTTTCTTGTGTTCAGTTAAAAAAAAAAATAATGCTTACTTCCATACAAAATTTCAAAAGCAAAACAGTGACAAAATACGCAAAGCATACTTTACTATTGCTTGCCGCCTTTAAATCTTTTTGGAGTTTCGTAAAGAAAGAGGCATCAACAAACCCAAAAATGAATTTTGGGTTTTTTTTTTTCCTTCTCCACCAAAATGAAAGCCAAAAATTGGGGAATAATCACATTCAAACGAAAACTTCATGAATGAATGAATTGTATATGGTCATTAGAAAAAATACTGGTGGGGTGATGAGTCTGTTAATTAAAAAAAGTTTTATGCTCTTTTGAGGTAAGGATGGCATATAAATGACAACTCATAGGTTACAGTGCATTTCATTATGTTTTAAGCAAAATAAGCTTTATTTTAAAAATCCAGTTAATCCTTATAAGTAGCACAAATATTAGATTTTTTAATTGATTTATAAATTTGTTTATATTTTTCATCTAATGGCGGTTTGAGAAGTCAACGAGTGACAAGTGAATATCTAAAAAACATTGACATATGAACATTTTTTTTAATGCAGATATTTTATAGCTTAAGAAAAAAAGACTAAAACCAAAGTTAAAACTAAAAGAAAGTATAAATTATCTAACGTATTTTTAGGGTGTTTAGGAAGTTCGTAGTGGTACCTAACGTAAGGGGCCATACATATGATCCCTTCACATAAAGTCACTCTTAAAAATTAGGGAACCCAAACTATGTACTATTTTTTTTAATGTACATCGTCATCATAGTACGCGTGCAAGAAAAATTAAAAACACGAGCAACGTACCTGCTCCACTTAAGTTTTAATTACGGTTTGTTTGTTTTTTTAATAGACGATATCAGTTTTAATGAAAAGTGAAATTAATAATGAAAGAATTGTTTTTAAACCTTTCACTTTGTTCTATATTGAATATTTAACTTTAAATGAATTATTTAAATTTTTTTTTTAATCGGTTATGATTCGCAGTTATCGAAAAACGGACGGACACTGCTTTATAGAAAATAGTTTAATGCTTAGGTCAATTTTTCAAGATTTTTTGAGCGTGTCATCACCACCTCTCCCACTATTTTTTTAAAACGTATTTATTCACGATGCATCGAAGTTCTGTGAGTAATTAAATTCCTTTAAAAATATATCTCTACAAAGTTTTCTATCCAGTTAAAGTTCTAAAACTAAAAAATTCATTTTAATTATTGATTAATTGAATTACTTCGTTTTTTTTTGTTTAAAAGAAATAAAAAAGAAATAAAAACTTTCGAATATGATGGCCGCAATGATTAGCAAATGTCTTCCGAACACTTTTCTCTTTACCTAGACTCATATTCTGAACAGAGCATACACTTTTTGTGTCCGTAAAATTCGGTAAATAAGAGATAAGTGACAAGTCGATTGAAATTTGGTTTTAGGGTCGTTCTTAGCCCCCTAAATCCCCCCCTCCAGAAATTACCGCCTTGGTATTTATTTTAGTGGGGTTCTATCTAGATCCCCATAGTTAATTACTTTTTAAAAAATATATTGGAAGGAGGGGGCTTGGATCCCACGACTTTGAAAGTTATTTGAAAATATACGGGAGGGGGGCTTAGCTCCCAAATTCATACTCCAGAAAGTTCCTAAATCAATTTTTCAATCAACTTAGTTAAAGAATTTTCCTAAATATACTTTTTATTATTATTATTTAAAAAAAAAAAAAAATGGGAAAATTCGGTAACTAATTTAAATTTATTATATGAAAAAAAAATTCAACATGTGTTAAAATCAAAAATGTCAATAACAATGTTGAATTTTTTTGTGAGAGGAAAAGTTGCATCATGGCTAAAATAAAATATTGTCGTCATCTTTAACAAAGGTGGGGACACGTAAGATAATTAAAAAAAAAAAAAAAAATCCAAGAGAATTAGGACGACCTTTATTGTTTTGTCTTTTGGTGTTATGATTTTATGACGCCTAGCTGTTTTTTCAGAAATCGTTTAAAACTTAATGTTATCTTGTTTATTTCCTTTCAGAAATAAAAATAATTATTAATTATCCTTTTTAGGATTTGAAACACGTTGTAGTGATTAAAAAAAAAAAAAAAATCCCTCATGAAGCGAAAAGAAAGCATTGTAAAGTCGGAAATTGCACATTTGGTAAGAAGACTAAAAAAAGAGCGACTTGTCACTTTGTTGTTTTACTTAATAAAAAAGGTAAAAGTAATGAATAAAAACAGATTTTTCATAGTTTCACTTGTCTCGTCGACTAATAGCATTTAATTAAAAATATATTTCTTTTTAAATAACTTAATATTTGAAAACCTAACTGAACATTAATTTTTTTTTTTTTTTTTTTTTTTTTTAATTATTTTCACGTATTCAATTTGACTTTTCATGTATTCTCCATCATGGTGTCTTGCCTTGAGTAATCGCACTTTTTTTTTTTTTTTCCAATAAAAATTAAAATGATTCTTATTTTTATTAAACTCAGTGTTCAGATTAAGGAAAAACATTTGCCATAAGTTTTCGATGAATGTTTTAACTTCTAAACAGAAACTAGTAGGATTTCATAGTTACAAAAAATGGTAGAAAAACTTGTGAACTTTTATCAGCTACTAAGTGACTAGTAATTTATTTAAGTGTAACTTAGATGCGGCTCTTGAAAAATAAAATTTATATTTAAATTATTTTTTCCTTTCAATTTATAGACAATAAATTGAAATTGTCCATTTTTTAAAACTTACTTTTAGTGATAAATTAAATTTTCTACAAAACATCTTTTTTTTTTTTTATTATTGCGTAAAAGAATCGTACAACAAAGTAAAGTTTCATTCTTCAATTCAACAGGTTACTGTAAAAAGAAACACATTCAAATACGATGTTTATAATAAAATAAAACTTTACCTATTTTTCTGGCATCTAATAACTTCGTTTTTGATTATCTTAATTTAAAAATTACTTTAAAAGTTAACTTACCTTGTAAGAAGTTTATGCGCAACATACCGGTAAGCATCCATTAAGAAAAGATTGATCATGTGATTTGCGGCAGAGGTAGCTTCCTTTATCGAAAATATTCCGTTGTATCGTTTAATTTTTTTAATTTTTTTATTTTCGATTACCATTTTAATTAATTTCACACTTCTTCCCCAGAAGAAAAAACAGAAACAATAATAATAATTATAATTATTTTAATTGGTTCAAGTTTTTAGTTTTCGATACCTTAAAAATAAAATAAAAATGTCGTACTCACGGACATGTAAGAAATGAAAAAAATAATTAAAATTTTCAAATAATTTGTTTCAAGTTAAATTTTGTTTAACTTCAATAGACTAAAATTAAAAATAACCCGTAAAAAAAAAAAAACGAAAAGAATGATAGCTTTTTTTTTTTTTTGTAGAAACTACGCCAGTCATTCATCGATTCTTTTTTTTAACGGAATCGATGAAAATCAAAACAAACAATTTAAAAAAAAAAAAAACCTATAAAACCTCAATATTTGTCCGATAGATTTCAAAGGAAATTAACAAATTTAAGAATTAACTGGATTTAAAAAAAAAAAATGTTAAAAATTAAAAATCATGGCGAAAAATATTTTTGCATACGGTACCACATCATACTTATTATAAAACCCAGGTTGTGTGTGTGTCTGTGTCTGTA